AAAGGGGCTCCAGGAAACCTGGAGAGGGGCTTTGGACAAGGGATGGAGGGACAGGACAAGGGGAATGGCTTTAACCTGCCAGAGGGGAGATTGAGATGAGCTCTGAGGCAGAAGCTCTTCCCTGGGAGGGTGCTGAGGCACTGGCACAGGGTGCCCAGAGAAGCTGTGGCTGCCCCATCCCTGGCAGTGTTCAAGGCCAGGTTTGACACAGGGGCTTGGAGCAACCTGCTCTAGTGGAAGGTGTCCCTGCCCGTGGCAGGGGGATGGAACTGGATAAGCTTTAAGCTCCTTTCAACACAAACCAGGTTGGGACTGTGTGATACCCAGTTCCCCTATCCTGAAGGCCAGAAAAGAGAGAGAACTTGCACAAACCATGAGAAGCCTCAGATAAATCATTACAGTGGGACCAAGACCCCACAAGCAGCATGGGCATACACTGGTCCATGTGCTAAAGCAGCCAAAGCAACCAGCCCCTACATTCAACTTCTGAGGCACCATCCTCTTCCTTCTCTAACTGCTCCACAGCATTGCTTTTTATTGCTTCCCAGTTCCACATCTGCTGAGGAGGAGAGTTTGACACAAAACCAGACTGCATTACCCTGGCGTGGCTTGAAGTGAGGCCCCAGAACGACGTCCTCCCTCAGAGCTTCTACCTCCACAGAGCACTCAAAGGAGGGGAGAACAGACCCCTCTTTCACAAAGCTATTCTCAACATTATTGACCATGTTCACTATCACTGGCCCAATCTCTTCCATTTTAGAGCTGAGCAAAAGGGTTTCTGTGGCTCCTCTTTTAATTTCACGCTTAGAAGTACCAGACTTCCAGGCACAAAGGAATTTAGGGGGCTCTGAGGCTGGTTGCTGGGATTGTGAAGCTGGAAATAAGGCAGATAAGATTAAAGTTGGAGGGGAAGTGTTAAGCTCTTCTTTGTTTTTCCAGATTAGACTATCTGTTCATCACCAAATATTACCCATCCTGCTGTCAAAATGCAGGTAAGAGATTTAGCTGTTTGACAGCCCCCTTTAAAACAAAGCTCTGATGTCTTCAGAGGCACAGACTCACTACAATTATGATGTTGCTTAGTAAGAAGCAAGAAAAGGAGAAGATAAAAGGATACACTAAATGATGAAGCACTCTTTTCCTCATCTTTCTCCTTCAGGTTTTCCACTATCACCTCAAAGTATGGAATTACTGACACTTCCTACAGGTTCAGAAGACATGAGATAAAGAAATACAAATCAAATTCCCTCTTTTCCTCATTTATTTCAGGCTTAAATGTTTTCTTAGCAGCTGACTTTCTCCGTGAGTTTCCTGCACATCCCAGGAGGAGGAGAAGGTGAGGAAACCACCTCCTTAGTGCCTTCCTAAAGCATCTAAACAACAGACAGGGCATGCTGCACAAAATCAGAGCCTGCAGTTGAAGAACACAGTCCATATCCTGTGGGAATCTCGATTTACACAGCTCCTTAGATCAGCCAGCTGGATCTATGGTGAAATACCTTGGGAAATACAGAGAACACTCAACGGATAAAGAAAGGAAACTGTGAGAGTGAGGGAGAAATAAAACAGGGGAAACAAGAAGCTATGAAGGAGAGAAGGTGAGATGTCAGCTTTCCTGGAAAACCACACACATTCCGAGTGACAGAAGGATGCCATCTCCAAACCTCCTGCATCACAGGTACAAGATGAAGAAGAAGGTGGGGAAGGCGAGTCAAGCAAACCTCACATCCTCCAAAACACACCCCTCATCTCATGAAAAGGGTAAAGAAACCAAGATCTGATGCCGGGAAGTGTTCATAAACCACGTAGATGAGGACCTTAGTGCCACGGGTTAGTGGTGGCCTTGGCAGTGCTGGGGTAAAGGCTGGACTTGAGCTTAAAGGTCTTTTCCGACCATGTTGATTCCATGATTTGATGCTCTGGAGCACCTTCAGGCAGTGATCTAACTCCACAGAACAAGTGCTGTGCTTACCCTCACCAGGCTTCAAAGAGCCTGGATGCTCTACATCAGAACATGAACTTCTTGCCCAAGTGAGGTGTTAAAAAATAGCATGGAGTGAACATTCCCACCCCCATCATTCCATTGGCATGCTTCACATGGAGGCACCTCAGCTGGCTCTCAGCAGCTTTAGACAGGTTTTTAATGGCATGTTTTCTCCTCTGTAAATCACTTTCATCCACTCTGAAGTCAACTGTCTCAATATAGGTTAAGATAACTTGGAGGAACCCATTTTCCTATCAAGAACTGTCAAGTTGAAATTGTAAAGGTCTTCCAGAGAAAGAAGGAAGGAGACAAGCTAAGCTGCAAGCACCATGAATTCCCTGAGTCTTTCACCTGAGAGAGGGCACCTTCTCATGTATCACACCACTCAACAGTCCTGCTTTGCTGTTTTCTCCAATACCATGATTTTGGGGTTCTTAGGGATTAGTTTTTATTAACTTGGCTCATAAAGGAAGTAACAGAGATAGGATGGACTGGATGTGGAGAAGAGAAACTAGTCTGAACTCCACAGACAGGAACGTAAAGGGGAAGGCTCTCCAAAATCACAGCCTCTCTCAAGCTGACCTGCTGTACATTCACATCCTCCTCCAAGACAGCACTTTCTCATCCACAAGCCTATGAAGGGACTGAGTATAAAGGGAAAGGGAATAAAGAGTTTACATCCAGCTTTCTGGAACCCAACACAGCCAATGCAGTATCTGGATGTTCAAGTCACCCTAAAAGCAGGTAAATTCTCTCTTTTCAAAGAAAACCAGTGGCCATCTCCCCCAGACCTGCCACCTCCTTACTGCACAGTGGGGTTACAATAACCCTGCCTGTGTTTGTGCAGTTAGAACTGAAGGGCCATGATCTGACAACTCCTGCTCAGGCCTTTGACCTGTCCGAAGGACTTGGCACTTCTGCAGCCCCTGATTCCATTACCCCACAAAACACAGCCCTGTGCTTTGTGCCAAGAGCCAAAAGGTGGCCAGGAGTGGAAGAAGAGCAGCAGGCAATGGCAGCCACCTAACCTCACAGTGTGACAGGGTGTGAGCTCGCTGCATCCCAAAATAAACACGCTGCAAGTATTGGACCACTTGTCACAAAGCCATGTTTCTAACTGTTCTCTTACAACCACTGGCTTGCTCTTTGGTGATACAGCAGGTGGAGGGCTTAGCTGTTCCTCCTACCAAGATGCAGCCCAGCCTGGCAGGGTCTTGTTTGTTAAATCACACACACACACAGCTTCACAGCCACAATGGAGATCTCTCGCGTTCAGCAGCATTCCAGCAGCGTCTCCAAGTGTGATTTATTTCCCTCCTTCCCCCCCAAAAAGCCATTGAGTTTTTCCATAGGTTTTTCACTTACCTCTCCCATAGCCCGTCCTTCCAGAGCAAGAGCCTGAAAATCATGATTCAGTTCATCCATGGAACGCACCTATTTAGAGAAGGGGAAGAAAAACCCATGAGGAAATGCTGGATTTAGGGTTTGGTTCAGTGATAATCAGAGTTCACAGCAATTTTTCTGACACAGACCAAGAGTTACACTCCATATTACAGCATAGGACAAGGTTATTGAGCTTCAATGGATGACTTACCTTTAGGATGCCCAGCTAGAAGGTTTATAGTGTTAGATTTATATACACACAACAAAAGGAAAAACCAGCAATTACTTTTAAGACACAGGAAGTCTAAAACGTTTGATAAAGTTTACTGCAAAGATTAACATGGAGCAGTAAAGACTGCAGGTGAGGGAGTTAAAGCACAAGCAAGCGAGTCAGTGTCTTCCCTTCCAGATGAGAAATCACTAAGGCTCTTGTATAAAGCAGGTAGACTTCTAGTCAGGTTACACTGATATGAAAGGAAAAAGACCCAACTCTGGACCTGAGGACAAAGCACAGACATTCAACCATGTGCCAGGGCCCAGCCCAAACTATTGCCCTGCTCAGGTAGCACCCCTGTACCAAGGCAGTGCTTACTACACCAGCCACACACACACAGAGCAACACTACACACCTCGTACTCAATGCTTACACAATCCCTGCAACCCAACAGACGAGGCACCTCTCTGCTAGAGCAGGGGTGATAGCTTATAGAACATTAGGTACAAGGTATCCACAGCCTGTGGTCACTGCATCCCCTCTCACAGGCTCTTCATGGGGGATGATGACCCATATACAGGGTTTAGTTGTGCCAACACTGGACTCATGGCACGAAGGAGGCCAGAAACACCCTTATAGGCTTATAGGATAACCCCCCCCCCAAACTGGTTTAGAGAGTTGATTCCTACAGAGATGACACAGAGACCAAGATAAGAGGAGTGGTAAAGGGCAAAAAGCAGGATAAACATGAAAGCAAAGTGCACTCCAGCTGTTCCAAACCCAGCTGGGTAACTGCACACCTAACAGAACACTGGTATTTCCCCTCCTCTCCTCAGGGTCTGAAGGAAGCTGTCCTTAAACATGTCTTTGATGGTAAATTGCCATCCTGACCTCCCTATTACACAATATACAGTAGAAACGGGCTGCATCCGTCTTCCCAAATATACTTTACCCCAGTCACTACCAAAAGCAGAAAAAAAATAACATAGAAACATAGAATCCCAGAGTGGTTTGGGTTGAAGAGACCTTAAAGCTCATCCAGCCCCAGACACCTGCCATGGGCAGGGACACCTTCCACTAGAGCAGGTTGCTCCAAGCCCCTGTGTCCAACTTGGCCTTGAACACTGCCAGGGATGGGGCAGCCACAGCTTCTCTGGGCACCCTGTGCCAGCGCCTCAGCACCCTCCCAGGGAAGAGCTTCTGCCTAAGGTCTGAATTACCCATGAGACATGGTGAGAATTGAGGCAACAACTTACACAAACAGAGACCAAACCTTTCCTCTAACAAGCCACCCTCTGGGGGCTGATGTCCCAGTGCCCAAAACGTGTAACAGAGCAAAGGAGGAGCAGGGAAGCCTGTGACAGCCCCCATGTATCCTCAGGAAGCAGTCACAAACCCAAGAGCTAATGGGACACGTGGCACTACAATGTCCTGTTCATCTTAACCCAGGCACCAACAGGCCCCACGGGGCTGAATGGCACTTGTCACAAGGAATCCTGCAGTCAGGTACATTAACAGCAAGCACGGCCCCAAACTGTCCTTACAATTACTAAACAGGGATGTGAAGGACCTCACATGAGATTAACAGTACATTTACCTTCCTTCTAGAATAATCCAAGGGGTTTTTCCCACTTGAGAGCTTCTAGCAAAGGAGCTGAATTGTAATTTTAAGTAAATATTAATGTCAACAATCAGTGTTAATACTGCACCTTATATTAAGCAAATATGGTTGCTAATATGACCTTTATATCTGACTTCCCAGTACAATACCATAGACGTTTTGAGGTCTCTCAGGGGATCACACACCAGCCTTGTGCATCAAGGACTCCTCCTTGATGTAGGATTGATATAAACCTACAGAGACACACAGCAAAGCTACCACAGACCAGACTTCACTCTTCATCACAAAGGATTTTTATTTCCTCTTTATGCCAAGTGATGTCTCCCAGTAAGGGCAAGGACAGGTAGAAGTAAAGAGCAAAACCCCAGCCAAATACACAGCAATAAACCCAAACAGACAGACCAGAAAGTGCTTTGGAGAACAAGCAGCTGAGAAAGAACCAGCTGAGAAATCCTCCAGCTGCTGATCTGAAGGAGATGTCTCTACAAGTGCAGCAGGAAGCCTGAGGCTTTCTGATTTCTATTTTATTTCTTGATGTTGAACAGCATTAACCAGATCCAACATCTGCATGTATTAGTGGTAACAGCAACTGAAGAGGGTTTAAACTATTCCTATGAAGCCAATTATGTTAAAGAGGGCAAGCAAAGCAAACCAGAGGCTGTTTCTGGAAGCCTCAGCTCTCCAGAGTCCCTGCTTCCCCTCTCCCTACCACCATTCCCCATCTCAAGGACCACCCCTCTCCTTCCCCAGCACTTTCTTATGCCAGGATCTATCCAGCTGCACTCTCCCTTCCATTGGAGCACTTATTCGCCCTCTCTCCCAATTCCACTTCTGACCAGGAGGCAAAACCTCCAGGACAGCATCTACTAAAACCAAGGTGAGACGAGCACTGCAAAGACAGGATTTGGGGAAGTTGGAACATGTAGATGGCTGCTTTCAAGGTTTCTTTGATCTACAGTGAATTACAGGGCAGACTGCAGGCTGCCACCCTGCCAGCCAAGCAAACCAACTCCAGGTATCCCACAGATCCTACCAGAAGGAATTCTGAGCACCCTGAACTTCTCTGCCATCCCAGCAAACAAAAAGGCCAGGTGCTGGGAGCACAAATCCATGGAAGGGCTCCTTCCTCGGGCTTTGTTGATGCTAGATGTGCTCCTGGAGCCCTGCCACAATCGGAGCTCAGCACAAGAGTGATGGGACCACCCTGTTGTCCTGCTTCTCTACTCCTAGAGTTAACCAGGGAAATGCTGTCACTGTGACACTTGTCAGGATAGATCAAAATGTCACGATATCTCAGAATAGCATTTGCTTGTTTCTGTGAGAAGACAAGAAATGAGAGATTCCAAGTCCTCCCTGTTTGCACGGTACATCCCAGGCACTTGCCCAGAGCACCTCAAAGCATGATTATTATTATTTGGACATCTATTTATTCTTGACCCATGTGCACTCTGCAGGTGGGGAAAGTGGAGTTTCCATCTTGAGGCCTTCACATTTTAAGTCTTGCTCAATTTGTAATTAAAAATAATAAAATCATAGAATCATGGAATGGTTTGGGTTGAAGAGACCTTAAAGCTCATCCAGTTCCAACCCCTGACACGGGCAGGGACACCTTCCACTAGAGCAGGTTGCTCCAAGCCCCTGTGTCCAACCTGGCCTTGAACACTGCCAGGGATGGGGCAGCCACAGCTTCTCTGGGCACCCTGTGCCAGCGCCTCAGCACCCTCCCAGGGAAGAGCTTCTGCCTAAGAGCTCATCTCAATCTCCCCTCTGGCAGGTTAAAGCCATTGCCCTTGTCCTGTCCCTCCATCCCTTGTCCAAAGCCCCTCTCCCGGTTTCCTGGATCCCCTTTAGGCACTGGAGCTGCTCTAAGGTTCCCTGGAGCCTTTGCTCCTCCAGGCTGAATGAATAAAACATTCCTCAACAAAAGTCACCATTACTACACCAGGAATCCAGGTGTAGTAATGTACTAATCCAGGAACACTAGGATTGAGAACAAGAAACATCAAAAACATTCAGGCTGCTGAGGCTCCTTCAAATGGAGGGGAGAAAAAAAAAAAATATATATATATATAGTTGGTTGAACATCCTAAATATTTAGTGGCACTTGACTGATGTACTCACAAGTTTGAAGCTTTCTCAATTAACTAAAGGTTTCCAAACTGCAGAAGGAAACAAATGCCTCCTACTCAGCCGCGGGAGCTGCCGGCGCCTGTCTGCTCTGAAGGGCTCACAGCTCCTTAGTTAAAACACATCTGAGAACACACACACACACACGCAGAAATATAGTATCTAGGAGAGGAAAATAGTATTTACCAAGTGAAAATAAGCACCACACACTGTCAACAACAAGCTCACCACCACCGACCAGACCAGGGTTCAGATAGTTTGTTCCATTGACTGATTACAGCACTATTTTTAGCCTTCTCCCATAACAATGGTGGGTAAAGGAAGAATGTGAAAGTACAAGTAGTAGATGGGATTAGGTGGTTTAACTACTATTTTTGTAGTAGAAAAATCACCATTATAATTGCTACTCCCATTAGCACTGGAAGCAAAATGCTACTGAACTTACCCCTGGCTCATGCTGGATGTGGCCTTTGGCCAAGGTGATGAGTGATGCGAGGTACAGGAATCAACCCAAGGAAGCCTCTCACAACACTGATTATGGCTTTCCTCAGGTTCTATTCCCAGAGGGAAAGGTGCCCAGAGAAGCTGTGGCTGCCCCATCCCTGGCAGTGTTCAAGGCCAGGTTGGACAGATCCTTGGTGACACAGTGTTCTGCTGACAGACAGGGTACACCACAAAGTGACCACACACTAGCTGTACAGTAAGCAGAGTTTATTAAACAAGCACACTAAAGCCAATAAGCACACTAAAGCAAGCACACTAATGTGAATTAGGTAAATCTCTCTCTATATATAGTGAATAAGTACAATAAAGCAAATCAGAGATATAGGGATATAAGTTGGGGGTTGGAACTAGATGATCTTAAGGTCCTTTCCAACCCTAACTATTCTATGATTCTAAGTAAAGCACTGAAGAACGTCAGCAATGCATTAAATCATTACTGTATAGAGAGATTAAGAAGAAATACATCACCAGTTACCACTGAATCATTATCCAGGCCCACACTTCCAGCTGGAACGCCCCATGCCAGCCAATGCCAGGAGTCTCTGGCAACTGGGAAAGTTCCTACGCAGTGTGTCCACCCATAGGTGAGGCTTCTCCCATGGCCACCAGAGGGTCCCACTTTTGTACCCTTATCAAAACAACTGCCTTTATGCCAGATCTCTAATCATTTACTTGTGAAGCCATGCAGTTTCTCATGATCTCACTGTTCCCACTCTGAGAGCACTGGCCAGGCAGCCCAGTGCAGCCAAGTATGAAGGTCACAGAACAGCTGCACACCTCTGTTTTCCTATCTCTTTCCAACAGTCACCATAAACACACACATATATACTCTATCAAATACACTGTGGCAAACAACATCCTTTGTTATGTCTCTCAGTCATGAGAGGGAATCAACTCTCAGCTACGTTCCTATCCATTACACATGGTCTAGAGTGAGGAGTCCCTGCCCATGGCAGGCAGTTGGAACTGGATGATCTTAAGGTCCTTTCCAACCTAAACCATTCTATGGTTCTATGCTTCACTTCCAAGCACAAACACCAGGGCTCCTACCCTCTTAGCTTCCAAGATCTTTCTAGAGGACCTTGCCATGACTTTAAGGCACTAACACAGTCAAACATCAAATCCAGACACTTCCACAGCAGCAGCAGCATTGTTTGAGTAGCTGTGCTCTAGACAGGCAGCTGCCAGGAGATTTACCTCCTGTCTCCACTTGAATTCAAGTTCCCACTTAAGAAGTTCCATGGTCACACTGTCCAAAGGCAAAACTGAGCATAAACCCCAGTCCCAGGCCTGCTGCTCTCACTATTCTTCACCAATTACATGAGAAAAATTCCCCACATTCAACAAGGTGATCCCTGTGGAGTTCTATTGTCTCCAATTATTAAACATGTTCTCAGAGCAAGCAAATGCCTAAAATCATTTGCTTCTACTAAACAGCTCCCAAACTACCCTCAGTGCAATCCAGACAGTTCGAGCACAGCCACCCACTGCAATTCAGAAGGGACCACGCCACAGAGACATCCCCTTCGCTCTGGTTCAAGCACACACAAGCCTGCACCAGCCCTGGGAGACCCTGTCCCAGAAATCCCAGCCAGTTTTCCTAAACCCCTACTCAGTGTTGATAACTTCTCCCAGCTCAAGAGCTTGACAAGCTTTTCCTTCCTTTCAGGAGCCGTGGATTGCTGTTTGGATTTGGAATGAGATATGCAAGCTTTCATGGACTCATACAATCACAGCATGGTTTGTGTTGGAAGGGACCTTAAAGCTCCTCCAGCTCCAACCTTCCACTAGAGCAGGTTGCTCCAAGCCCCTGTGTCCAACCTGGTCTTGAACACTGCCAGGGATGGGGCAGCTTCTCTGGGCACCCTGTGCCAGCACCTCAGCACCCTCCCAGGGAAGACCTTCTGCCCAAGAGCTCATCTCAATCTCCCCTCTGGCAGGTTCAAGCCATTCCCCTTGTCCTGACCCTACATCCCTTGTCCAAAGCCCCTCTCCAGGTTACCTGTCGCACCTTTAGGCACTGGAGCTGCTCTAAGGTCTCTCCTTCAGGAGCCTTCTCTTCTCCAGGCTGAACAAGCCCAGCTCTCTCAGCCTGTCTATAGGAATTTTGTTCAGGAGCTCAAGAGATTTCAACTGGGAAAAAAAAAGTCTGATTCCACCATTATTTCAGTGTCTGCAAGAACAAAGAGGAATTTATAACGCATGCTATTTGTGTGGATGGGGTAGCTTTGATACCTAAAGATGCAAAGTGACAGTAGTATCTTTAATTGCTGAGTTTTACATTAAAACGTACCTCCCCTCACCTTCTGGTAAAGGGAAAAATGCAAAGGGAAAAGAGAAAATGAATGAACATTTTCCTGCTGTTCACAACAAGAGGATACAATCTACTTCTTTGGGAGCAGAGAGTCTTAAGTCATCCCTATTACAGCCATGCACAGCTCCATCCTCAGAGCAGCTCCTCAAAGTACCAACAAATGAGAACAGCCAGCACAATGAGAAATGAAATCAAGGACACAGCAAATAAGTTCTGACTCACAGCACTTGTAACTCTACAGCAACACATGATGAAATACTATCATTTGGTAAAACTCACTGGAGCATTATCACCAACAGACAGAAAGATGCCTGTCTACGTCTGTAACAGAGAAGAAACTGGGATTCAACAACTAAAGAATCCCTCTATCTTTAATTACAACTCCCAAGCTCCAGGCAGACATTAACCTGTATTAGTCTATAATTAGTTTTTTTCTGACTTCCCATTATCTTTTAGCTCCTGAGTTTCTGAACCAATCTTCAAGGCAACAAGGGCCCTCACTGCATTATCTTTGCAAGTCTAAAATCAAAAGTACAGCAACCTAAGTGTATCCATCAGAAACCGAGACCAAGCAGACATCCTAATGATTTCCCACCTCTCTTGGCTTTAAACCAAACACCACAGTGAGTGACAAATACGTTACAGCCAATGTGCAAACCACCAGGAAGCAGAACAAACAAGGTCCCAACGTTAAGTGTGTGTATTTTGAGCTTCAGATCACAAAACACATGGAAGAAAACCAGAAAGTACCACATTTAGATCTTCTCCATCACTCTCTCTTGCAACAAGTTTTACATTTAGTGACTGGAAACTTGGCCAGTTAACAAAGAAATTACACCTCCTCACTTTAAAGGAAACAACTGCATTGAAACATCTTCATTAAATCCTTTGTTTCTACATAAGCGAATAAAGACAATATTCTTCTGGCTGCTGAGTTCATATTGCAGGATTTCATTTCTTTTTCTTCCAGCCAAAATGAACCTGGATTTCCTTCTTTGTTGATGTACACACCGACATCAATGAGGTTGCAAAACTCACTGCAACGTTTGCTTTCCAAAGGTCCGGATGGCAACACTTCCACCCCAGGCAGTGCAGCAGAGGAGTAAGAGCCTGTTCCCTTCTACTTGAAATACTATAGGCAGGAGACACTCGTGTGAAGGCTGCAGCAGCTTTGTGTCTGCTGCTCTACTGCTTGTGGGAACGATTCTGTGTGAAAATGCACTTCCACTTAAGTTGTGCTCCCTTAGAAGAAGGAGCACATCTCCTTTGAGGAGTTACTCACAGGTCACAGACAGAAAGCCAGAGTGAGTCACGCACTCATTTAACTCACAGCACATCTAACAATGCAACTGCTAAGAAGACTTCTAGTAAACACTACTACCAAGGCACAGGCCAGCCCACTGCCCCTTTAGAAACATTAAGTTGCTGTAAGAAGGTAGTTCTGTGCCTAAAAGCCGTTTCCTGACATTCCTAAGACAGTTCTCAGCTCAGCTAAGCACGTGAATAGCACCTTCCCCTTCCAATTATAAGAAGAAAAACCCAAACCCAAAACAAACAAGCAAAGAAACCCAAGAAAACACATTACCAGTGACTTCCAGAGCTGTGTTTTTCAATATTGGGAATGGTAAAAGCCCAACCTCCATGCATTGGCAGTTTTGTAATGCCATTACATAAGAATTATTTAACTACAGCAACAGATTTGAACAGCAGCAGCAGGCACTGCTACACTGGTTCACACATTGGAAAAAAAATCAATCAATAAAGGGAATGAGAAACTTTGCAAACATGCATTTGACTGTCACAGAGTGGTTTGGGCTTTCAACACCCTCCAAAGCCAAAATGTTTCAGCTTATAGCTACCAAGGCACCACAATCCTGGAAAGAGAAAACAGAAAAGCACAACTGTTGCCATTCCAACCACCCAATAACCAGCTTAAGCATCATTAAAAGCATCTATCACAACTGCCCGATGCGTTCACATGTTGAGTTTGGAAACAGGGAATGTGGTTTTTACCTGATGTTCTGCATGAATGTTATCCCCAGTAGGCCAGCGATGTTTGCTGTTATTATAGCCGCCTCCACCACTTCCTCCTCCCCCAAGCTGCTCACCATGCTGCCTCTGGAAGAAGTAATCCACCATGGCGTCGTCCTGGGAGCGACCAGCAACTCCAATGGATCCAGGAACAGGACTGGAGTGTGTCCCTGCTGCAAGGGCCTGATTTGCAGCTGGCTGTGGCTGAGCCTGGGACCCTGTTCCAGATGTCAGTACAACAGGCATGTTGGGATTAGCTGTATCTTGAGCGTGCTGCTTCAGGTGGGGGCTGAACGAGTCCTGCCACAGTACTGCTTTTCTCTTCAAAACACACGCAACGCTCATTCCACCAGCACCTATGGAGGGAGAGGGATGAGGCGGGGAGATGGAGGGGAAGAGGGAAGTAAAAGATAACATGAAATTCTTACAGTTGCAGCTTTACAGCCTCAACCACACATCCAGCTCGTGACTGGCAGGGAAACATCACGACGCCAAACCCGACTCCTTGTAACATATTCTTTGCTCCATTAACCTAGCAACTAAAATATCACCTAACAATGCATGCCAGCCAAAAAAAAAAAAACCCATTTTGTGCTGCAAAGCGTTTGTGTAAGGTGTCCATTACACTGAAATCGGAATGTCAACGTGTGCAACAGCCACAACACCCACTGGAGTGCCACCACAGAACATGGTTCCCTGGTGGAACACGAATCCCACCCTCAGAGCCTGCTGTGCTTGTTTCCACATGACATGTTACAGGCCACATCCTCAGTCAATACACGAGCCCCAATATCACCATGTGCTTGCTCAGTCATGTAAAATATCAAGGCATGCTTTTTAAATGCAAACTTAAACCCCTGGATTTCTACTTCTACAGTTAGTCCCAAACACCACGTGTACCCTTCCTGCACACCCAGCCGCTAGCTCGGGTCATGAGATGGTAAAACACACCAGCTGGTTTGGTACAGGATTCCCTGGAGACAGAGCAGGTAACCTCCCAGTGCCTGGGATCCTGCAGAACCTTCCAGAGCAGCCAGCAGTGCCAGTCTCACTGGCAGCAGGGGAAAGCTGGACTAGTCACAGACACCCTCCAACATTGAAACCACCCCAAATCTTTTGCATACACCCCACATCATCTGTGTGCAGGACGACAGCAGCTAAGCTGGGCTCACAGCACCTCCCCCATTTACTATCCCCACAATATTCTGATGACATCCCAGCAGCACAAAACCATGGAAGTTTGTTATTTAAGACGTTATCAGCTGAGAGCAATGAAGGCATTGCACGTGTGAACAGAGAAGTGTTTTCATCTGTTATGCAACGTTCAGCCAGTGCAGAGCACACACACAAACCAACCTGGGTCTACAGCCATGCTCTGGTCAGAATTGGGTTTATTTATGATAAACTAGTGATGACTAGTTTATGGCTTCAGTTACCAAAACACAACCCCAAAGATCCCACACAGGAGTTACAAGGATGACACTAGGGCAGGGGGTGTTCTGTTGTACAGAACACGTTACTGTTGTACCTTGCAAACCCTGGCCCTGATCCTGACAGCCTGAAAGGCGCCTCTGTTTGCTCTCTGCTCATCAGAGTAGTTCTGAACAACACTCAACTGCTACAGGCAACTTCCAAGAACAATTTTCTACCAGCAGAGAGAGAAAGTTGACACCAGAAAAGCTCAAACTTTGTCAGGTTTGTCCCACGCACTGAGAAGGGTGTTAAGAGTCACAAGAAAACAACTCGAAGAACTGCAGAGATGAGATTTAACTGTCCCTACACACAGCTTCCACACAGCTTGCACAGCCACACACACAATTCCAGGAGGTTTTCTTGTACAAAGACCTTCACAACTTAAATACCAGCAGCATTCAACAGAACTAACTCCTCTGTCTTCCCCAACCACTTCATAAACCACTGTGACAACACCTGACATTACTAAACCCTGTTTTTAAGAGCACAATACTACAATTTAATGGCATGTTCCCCTTAGTTCCCCTTTAATAATCATTATCAAAACCCTTTGGTACCATGAAATGAGGGGATGAAGTGCCTCTATGTAATAAGAAAAACTAAAAGTAAGTCATTAGTGGGCAGAAATTCACATATCACCCAGTTGGGGCGTGTATGAACTGCTGACAATGAAACCTGAGCAGCCCCGTGTAAGGAGGTTGCAAGTTCTCCCTGAGCAGTCTTAAAAAAACACAGGAAGATACTATGAATCCACAACGAGTTTCAAGTATCTGCACATTGTGCCAAGGCCCCTTTTCCAGCGCGAATACCGCAGCGAACAAAGTTGCGAGTGGCAGGCAGCAGAGCCACAACGTTGCTCCCCTCGCAAAGAACCTTCTGCTCACCAGCACAAAGCGGTTTCTGCTTTAATTTACACGCAGATCGCTAAGAGTTGTGTTACTATAAAGACTTGGGGGGGGGGGGCGTGGAGACGAGACTGTGGAAAGTCTCAGTGGAGGCACTGTGCAGCTCCGCACCAGTGCCTCCTGCTCCCAGACACTTCCTCTTTCGTCTGATCCAGACAAGGCAGCTCCAAAGCTGAGAGGAAAACTTGGCACAGGCGACATTTTGCAAGGGAGCGAAGGGGGAAGCAGCTTTGGGGGGAGTTCAAGTTTAGTTCCAAGCCGGGTTTCTATAGAAATGCCGTGGTAAATGCAGCGGACAGCTGAATCCTGTCATTCAAAGCACACAGAGCATCGCAACTATGTACAGTCACCTACACAACGCACAGTCATTCGCTAACCCACAGCTGCTAATGGCTCCGAGGAGCCTTTCCAGCCCCAAACTCTTCCTAAAATACACAAAATAAACTTTTCCAACCTAACCCATCTGCTGGGAAGTTTCATTATTGACAAACAAAGGTTTCTACACCCCTACCAAGCGGTCAAGGCTGCGATTTGCCTTTTCCCTCGATAAAAACACAACGTGTAAATAAACCGCTCTGTGTTATCATTACAAGCAAAATGCTTTAGATTATGGGCTGTTCCACAAGCAACAAAAACTCCGGAGCCATCTCCAAGCAAGTTTTAAGCGCGGCCTTGAATAAAAGCAGCTTTAATCCACACAGAGCACAGCTTCACACTCCGCTCTTCACTGCTCCTGTTCAATATCCCTCTAAAAATAAGGCAATATCCAAAAATTAAGTCAGCACAAGAGGCGTGTTTCCAAAAAAGTTCAATCACGAGCGAGAAGGGAGTTGGGGCTGGGTGGGTTATTTGGGAAAGTTGGGCTGGGTGTTAAAGCAAAGCCATTGTTCCAGCGCTGTGTGGGCCTAGGAGAACTTTGAGCGTTAAACCTTGTGTTTTCCTCCAAGCCTGGGGACACGCTGCAGGACACTGGGTCACACAATCACTGACTGAGGTGCTTCAAAGCACCACGAAAACCTTGGGTGGTAAATGCTCCCCCGTGCCCCACCTCCCTCGGTCTTAATAAAGGAAATTCCTTACTCATGATGTGCCTAATAAAATCTCTGCTGAGAACAAAGTTATTAAACACTGACTACAAATATATATA